TAGTCAGGTGTTGACCATAGGCAGCTTCCCACTAGAAATTTTGCGTATTTTGGCGCCAGCTTCTGGCTCTCTTACTGCCGAACAACTCACCCAAATGGTCGAACGACTTTATTAAACCACAACTTGCCTCGCTCCCAACTCCTGAATTTCCTCCTGCCTCTCCTATCTCACATTTGAAAACGGAAATTGCTTTGCATCTACCACACCCTTCCTTCACCCATCCAAGCCCGGTGTCAAGACAGAGTCAGGAAGACCGGAGGCGGGATTGAGCGCAGGCGGTCAGAGCTACGATGCCCAGCTCAGATTCCATGAGTGGGACTGCCATAAAGGCTACGGGTAGCTGGTGCCTAAGACCGCACCTACGCATGCCACCAACGCCCAATGGAAGCGGTAACACAGATTCCAGCCCAAACAGCCTGGCCTTCCATGTCACAGCAACCTGGCTCGAATCCTACGGGGTGGGAGTACCACAGCGGTCACATAAAGAAGCAGGCATTGCAGCCTGGTCTTCAGTTCGAAAGCCAGCCAATGCGTCATTCACTGGGGGAGAGAATGATGTCTTCGCGGTCTGACTCTTAACGGTAAACATAAACAGCACTTTGGCAGTTCGACCTTCGATGTCGACTATGTTCATTCTGAGCCCCACGCCAAGTTGAGTGAAGGAAAGGTGACTTTTACAGCACATTCTAGTCTCCTCTCGCACTCGGCCTCAGTATCACGACAAAACTAAAATCTGAGAAAATAGGGAACATATGGGGCTGCCGAAACAGGAATGCGCACCCAAACACACTACTATACTCTCTGAAGCAGGCTCTCATACAACAAGAAAAGTGAAGTTGGTTCGGATCTCACTGAGCGGTAGTGCCATAGAGACCGCAGGAAGAAGGAACCATTGCAGCCTGACTCGCACTTGGCCCCTCTACAAAAACACATGCTGGGCTAAATACGCGGTCCGAGTTACCCTATCAGTTGGTAGCCCTAAAAGACACCACGCTTAGGGCAGCATGGTGGTTTCAAAGAGCACTGGATTTGTTAAGGAGAGGAAAATGCGCTGAGATAGTCAAGATAACTCATTTTTCCTACAACCACGCACTAGGCCACTGTCCGAGCTAGCCAGTTGTATGATGTAGGGGAATGTTAGCAGTGACTGATAGAACTCGAAGACAGCGCTAGGGCTTGTACGCGAGGGTTTAGTCAGCGGTCGCCCTAGAATGGGCGCGAATCAATGCCGAACATCACCCTACGTAGTTCGGTCAGGTCCAGAGTTCATGGAACGACGAGCTAGTGCAAATGCGACGGCCAGTTAGACGTTCAGTGGTGGCTGTCTAGTTGGAGTTATATTCGTGAAAGGCGAAAACCGCTGAACCCAACATCGCACAGTTTGCCTTAACTCCAAACTAACGTTCACCAATCACTAACGGAACTCACTCGTTCCGCTTGACCTTGAGTCTTATTGAGAAGAAGAAGATTCGACTGCTAGGACAACACTTTTATTAGTCTGACTTTTCCATATCCGTGGCGGATTCTTCATCAGAGACAGAAAGTAATAGCAGAAACGGGTAACATATGCACAGGAATTTGCAGTATTTATAGGATATAGTCATTACCGTAGACGTATAACGACAATTAACGATAATTGCCCTCTTGTGCGTTGATAACTTGTTGACCGGCATGCGGGCTCTGACTTGATGAACTTCCATTAAAGGTCAAAAAACGTCTTGGAGGCCGTCGGCCGCCTTCTCGCATCACTTGGAGTTGGAGTCGCACAGAGGCCGGAGGCAACCATAAGACGTCCGATAATGGAACCGAAAGATCCACTGCCACGGCAAGAAACATCTGCAGTCATCTATAGGCTCTGGTGAAGTTGCGGACAAAGAAACTATGCCGGAGAAACTGGCAGACTTCTCAAGACGCGAATCGCCGAACACGCAGAAGCAGTGCGGCAAAATGATGCCAATTCTCAAGTTTCGGCTCATTCGACGGGAACCGGCCACACATTCAAAGTTGAGGCGGTCGAAATTATCGCAAGAGATGACAATAGGGGGAGCCGAGAATTACTAGAGTCATGGTTCACGGGCCCTCAATCCATAAACAAGTGAAACGATTTGCCCAATCTATATTCGGTACTGAGGCTCAATTTGGCCAAAGTAAGTCGCCACTTGGCGAATGTACAGGACAACGCGTTGTCTTAAGGCAACACCAGAGAGCTAGATAGCCGAACAATCATCACGCCTGAGTCCAGCACGCATGATGAAAGTTCATCAAGTCAGAGTCCCCATGCCGGTCAACGAGCTATCAACGCACAAGAGGGCAATTATCGTTAATTGTCGTTATACGTCTACGGTAATGACTATATCCTATAAATACTGCAAATTCCTGTGCATATGTTACCCGTTTCTGCTATTGCTTTCTGTCTCTGATGAAGAATCCGCGACGGATATAGATACGTCAGACGAATAAAAGTGTTGTCCCACCGATCGAATCTTTTTTTTCTCAATTATTTCCCGGGACTCGCATGTTCGCTTGTGTTGAATGTCATTTTCGGGCCCTGACAACAGTCGTAAAGCGGCTAGTAGCCTAAGCAGATAGTACTGCCGGAAAAGACAGAGCATACTGGAATGGAAGTTTCTGGTTTATTAGTCGTCATTAGCTAGTCGTACACAACCCCAGGTGTTGCGGCACTCGAGGCTTTAACCCGCGACCTATTAGTTAGAAGTCCAACGCCATGGGGAAAGGCGTTCTCTAGAACTGCGCCACGGGGTAGCTGCGTTGCCGGTTTAGATCTGAAGATATTGATATTCGCGAGCAGAAAAGGTTGCGGGTTTGATTTTAGGGTGATGCTCCACATAGGACTGGGTATGACTGGCTGACGAAGACTTATAAGCCAGAAACGACTATTCCAGTCTCCCTTGTCTTTGCTGGCCGTACTATCTGCCTTAATCCCATATGCTCGTCCCTCTAATTAGTGCCACTGAGGTGATGCCAACTTGGACAGATGGGGAATTCTTTCACGTTTGTGGGCTGCGTGATCGGGAAAACCGAGACGTTACTTTTTTGCCTCCACGGAATTCCCCATTGGGAGTGCAGTTCGATCGTCTAAAATGCAATACCTTCTCAAGGACTACTTCTGAAAGGCTCCGGCCCTGCCATAGCTAGCAGGACGTAACGATCAAAATGCACAGGCTATCGGCACCGGCTGAAAGCAAGAAAGCCGCAGGCCTGTTCAGAGTCGGCAGAAAGTGCTACCTGCGAGATTCACGAAGCGGCTTATCTTAGATTGACGCTGCGTTATTTTTACAGAAGAGAAATACAGAAAGGCGGCGGTACGAGCCTGTATTTATTCCGGAGAAGAGAAACGTCTTATGGTGTCGAACTATAGAGCACAACGTTAGTTTCCCCATCTTCAGTACAAGATGAAAGTTTCTGCGGATAACAACTAGGTCAACAAGGCTGAAGTTCGTTTCTTCGACACAGCTCTGAAGACGGATGGTGTC